GCAAATACAAATAAATGAAAAAGATAGATATTAGACTGCCTTTATAGTTCCCTTTGAGCATTATGAATGGAATGTTATGCCATTTGGCTTAAAAAACACTCCTTTAGAATTTCAAAGAATTATGAATGAGATATTTAATCTTTACACCCAATTCATAATAGTTTAAATAGATGACGTTTTAGTATACTCTCCATCATTAAAATCTCATTGGAAACACTTAAATATCTTCCTAAGGATTATGAAAGAGAATGGATTAGTAGTATCATCTATAAAGATTAAGTTGTTCCAAACAGAGATTAGATTTCTAGGATATCAAATATCCAAAGGAAAAAATAACGCCCATCCAAAGAGTAATAGAATTTGTCGATAAATTCCATGATGAAATTAAGGAGAAAACCCAACTCTAGAGATTTTTAGGAAAACTAAATTATGTAGTAGACTACTATAAGGACCTAGCCAAAGATCGCCAATTATTACTAAAAAGACTCAAGAAAAACCCTCCAAAATGGAATGAGAAATTCACTCAAATAGTAAAAAGGATAAAGTAAAGAGTAAAAACCCTTCCTTACCTCAATATTCCTTACCCTGAAATTCCTAAGATTGTTGAAACAGGCACATGTGGGGTAGGATATGGAGGAATCCTAAAACAAAACAGGTATGGTAAGGTTGAAATTATCTGATTTACCTTTGGTACCCGGAATGAAATCCAACAATAATACTCCACCATCAAAAAATAAATGCTTACCATTGTCCTATGCATCACTAATTTTCAATGCGATTTAATAAAGGTTTTACTTTACAAATTCATTGCAAGTCTGAAAAAGAAATTCTAGAAAATGATGTTAAAAACTTGGTTTCTAAACAGATTTTTGCAAGATGACAAGCTATTTTATCAGTTTTGGTTTTGAAATTAAGTATATTAAAAGATTTGATAATGCTTTGCCATATTTCTTGACCAGGGAATTCCTCCAAGAACATCTAATAAAAGATGGCCAGCAGAAGACAAGATCTCCCTTCAAGTCCTAATCAAAAGGCACTCTAGAAGGACTAATTAGTCCAGTCCACGGGCTTATTAGTTCGGGTCAAGCTCCAGGACTAATCAGTTCCCCAACGTTTCTCCCATAATTAAGGAATCTTCTCTAGCAATCAACGAGGCTAATTCTAATCAATACAAAACCAATTCAACAGAATTTGTAGTAGCAATGGTATCCTCTCATGCCAACCCAAAGGGGGCCCTCCAATATCTCGCCTTGGAATACCTCGACGACAACTCTTTCATAGTATATAGTCTTAACAAAGACCAAAAATTCTATGAAGAAATTCTCCTTCATACAAGCTTTGCTAGAATCTGACACTACTACAAAGATCCTAGCAAATCGRAGATAACTTATTCCAAGCTAGTAATTGTTAAATTTATGACAGAGGCATCACGAGGAGATTCCAGCAAACCAAGATTCATTACCAAGCCAATAGATCGAAGACCTATAATGTTCAATTATTGGGACTGTCAAGATGCTTGGTATAAAGTGTTTTTGGTCAAGAACTCCATCTTCACGCATTCATGGTTCATTCAATTTTTTGAAGAATTTCAGGACCCATATAAATTGGGTCTATGTTTGGTGGGCTATGTGGGGAGGATCGGACGACATCTTTCCCCAAAAGGAATTACTAGACAAATACTCACACTTTGGACAAGGAAGAAGTTACTTAGAATTTGATCATTAAAAGAATTCAAATTCTTCGAAACATATCGCCTCTCTTGGATTCTGAAATTGAGTTATCATCTAGACACCTCTTGGATGCCTTCGGCGATTGAAAGGATTACTGAAATTAAATGGTGSGACACATTTGATCTCACAACTACCCTTAAGTAAATTGTGGGACACATTTGATCTCACAATTGCCCTCAACCCAGCAAAAGAAGACATCATCTTTCAGGCCCTATTCGAGTCCTACATGGAGAAGCTTAAAATCAAATTCCCGGATTTTGACCCCATCGAGCTCGAAGAGATGTCCCTTTGATTCACAGAAAAAATGAAAGACAAAGGCAAGGGAATCTAAAAGGATATAGAAATTGAAAGTGTCTGGTCTCTCAGTCCCCAYGAAGGGATAATCATAAAGGAATCTTATTGTTAACAGTCAGTCTTCCATTGAAAGGTTCCCTCTTATCTTTGACAGTAAGATTTGTCAATAATGCTTCATAGTAAAGATTCGCTGAAGATAAAAGAAGCATCTCCAGCTCATCACTTTGTCTAAAAAAGACAAAAGCAGTACACCAAGTTTCTTGTAGGCTTTGTTGTAAAAATCCTTGAGTGATAATTTTGTAACATTTTAGTAATATTGCTTAGTGAAGCTCTGTAAGTTTTCTACGACTATACTTTACCTTAAGTATTCTGTAAGTTTATAATTTCTATTTAGTCTAAACCATTGTCAAAAATTTTATTCTACTTCACTGTTTGTTTTACTAAAACATCATCTACCAATATCATACTTTACTATTTGTTTTACTATTTTCTGCATATGCATATTGCTATATCCCAAGCCTTGGAGGAACTGTTAGGTGACTAGTCTAACAACTTGGGTTCTAGCCAAGTAATTTCTCTGGGGGGGGGGCTGCAGCTTTGGGTTATAGCCAAAGGTTCTAGGTAGTACTTGAGAGAGAGAGAGAGAGAGAGAGAGAGAGAGCTAGAAGGGTTTAGAGTTGAGAGAGTTTTTAGTTTGAGGGTTTTTGGGGCGCGYAGAGAAAGAGTGACAAGGAGACAAAACAGGAGGCTCAAGGGAGGGAGGAGTCTAAATCCGGTAAAGCAGTGAACTAGAGAAGCATACAGAGGAGGCTTGACAAGTGAGAGGGAGTAAGTTTTGAGGTAAGATGAGCAGGAGTGCGTGCCAGAATTTGGTAGAGAATCCAAGAATCTTAAATGGAGGGAAAAAATGAGAGAAATAACCGTGTTGTTGATCGAGGCGATAGCCTGGAGGGATTGTTTGGGGCTGGCAGGAGAGAGAGAGAGATAGTTGTTAGTGTTTTTATTTTTAATTTTATTTTTTGAATTCTTTTAAAAAGCCTTTTTATCGGAGATTTGCAGAGTCTACAAGTTATGTAAGTGTGCAGTGTTGCATGCCATTGAAAGGATGGATGTTGGATGTCTACTCAGGTCATTAGGGAGATTGGTTAAGTTAATTCGGTTGCTTTGAAACATTCTAGATAAGCTATTCAAAGAGATTGGAGTGGACAACCCTTCAAATGACTGATTGACAGTCTATTTGGGTTCTTTAGATTTTTTCACATGGGGCTCTCTGGGATGTCTCAAAGGCTGCAAGCTTCCTCCTCTAACCTCTTCTCTCTCTCTCTCTCATCTTCTTCTTCCTCTTTGGTTTTGCGGCTTCCACATTCCTTTGTTTTTCATTTTCAATCACCTTTGCAACTCTCGGTAGCRATAATCTATTTTCTCATCACTATTTTTCTCTCTCCCTGTCTCTTTCTCTTCTTTTTCTCCCTCGTTCTTTCTCTTTCTCCCTCCCTTATTACAGTCATCCTAATTGAACAACCACCACAACACTTAGTAGTGGCAATCTTCCCTTCTTCCTCCATCTCTTTCTCTCAAACATTTCCTCCCATCTATCTCTCCCTCATATAGTCTCTTCTCATTCATTTTTATTTTTTTTTATTTTTTTCTCTTCAACTCAGTAACACGTTGTTTTATGTTAACTATTCATCGTCTTCCTTGACAAGAATGAAAGTCCCAGCAGTGGCATTGACCTAGTCTCCCCTCCATGTTTTAGTGATTTATCATGGTTTTATGGAATATTTTCATGTTCCTTATTGTACCCCCAATGTTTCTTAGCATTTTTAAACTTATCTAATCGATCATCAACCCCGACACTTTGGTATCCTCACCTTTTGGATTAGAGTTGATCGAGGCGATTGTCATCAAGTTTACATCCTTAATCTGTCGACCAAACTCATTATTACATATTTTTATTTTTTTTATATTTTTTATTTGTATTAATTATTAAATATTTTATTTTTTATTACTTATTACATATTTTATTGTTCTATTAATTATTAACTATTTTATTACTTTTTCTTTGGAGTTTGTTCATGTTTTTCAATATTATTTTGATTTTAATAAATTATTTTTATAATTTTTACCAAATAGTCTATTTTACGAATAAAATAATTAAGTTAGGGAATTTCAAATATCAAAGTTTTTTTTCCTAGTATAAATGATATTAAAGATTTAATCCAATACAAACAAACTTATCTATTCAAAGCTTCTAAAAAAAGTAGAAAAGCATATATATTTCTTTTTAGATTTAAGACACAAAAGGATCCTAAGATGCAAATTATAGGGAATGTTTTAGTAAAATAGAAACTAGAGAGTAGGTTTTAGTATGTGAAAAATATAGGGTGTAATTAAATGACTCTTACCAAACATATAATTGATAGGCTATCTATGTGGGACTATCACGGAAAGTCATAACCGCTGCGCGTCAACCCTCCCATAGAGCACCCGACATATCTTATAGTTATAGGGTATCTTAATGGGCCCAGTTTGAAAAAGCCAGAAGCCACTTTGCTTCAGCCCTCTCGAACGGGGCACTGAAGAGTGAAGAGTCGTTCTGAAGAAGATACTAGCCTACAAAGAAACTTCAGCGGAATGCGGAAAGCCAATTTTCTGGCCGACTGAACGGCATACAACATATTTGAGGGCCTTCGGATTTTTCACCCAACATGGCTTATAAGCCGCCAGGCCCACCTCGCAAAGCCGAAGCCGTTGTGTGAAACGGTGAAACCGTGAAAGCCCTCCCAAACGGGCACTAGTGTCACATGTGGATGATAGCCCCACATGTGCCACAGAAATCAAAACCGCACGATTTGAAGTTATGCACTGGGGTCAGGTCAGAATTACCACGTGTCGTTACACTATTGGGTGCATACGAATTCCGGCACGGCTCCGCCACGAAGGGCTGCAGCATTACGCGAAACCGGTGAATAAACAATCATCCACCGTGAGGGATTAAAAAAAGGCAGAGAAGAAGAAGAACAGAAGAAGAACAAGAATTTAGATCTTCTCCTCTTCCCATGCAGATCGGGTTGGATCCTGTTTTCTGCGCACATTAGGGTTTTTTTTTGAACTTTTTTTCCGAGGATTTGAAGAAAAAGGCTATCGAATTGAGCCGTTCATTAGAGGGTATTGCATTCTTTTTGATCTGGACCGTGTCGGTATGATTATTTCGGGCGTTTTTTGATTTTTGTGTATGGTCTGTGGAATTTGAAAAGCTTCGTTAGGGTTTTTGTTATTGGTTTCATTCTTTTCGGGAAAAAAAAATTGTAATGGTGAAGAAACTCGTCGTGAATTTTGGCGGGATTTGAGTGCGGTTTAAATGGCATCAGCACAGGTTCTGTCCAATTCAGCAGCTTCGTCGCGTAAAAAGGATCATCTTGAAGCTGGAAAGCGCAAGGTATGGTATCGGTTCTGTTCAAAGGCGATGTATTTCAATCAACTTGTTTGTTTGTTTGTTTGTTTTTTTTTTCTTTTCTTTTTTAATCTGCTGATTTCTATGAGTTTGCAACTGGTTTGTCAAGGAAGTAATTTGTTTCCCTTGGCTTGAATTGGGAAAGAAAATGGGATATGTTGATCGAAGTCTTGGACGATTTCGCATTCATCAAGTATATAGTTTCAGTTTTGATGAACTGAAGGGGAATATATCTTTGGGTTGGAGTATATACCTGATCTATAATTTTGGGTTTTTCTTTTGGCACTTTCAAGTTGGAATCCGTAAATGCAGAAAGAAAAAAATCCTCCCCTTCCCCTCTCCTCTCTCTAAAGCATACCCAGATAAAATGTCTAAAAATATTGGTTAGATGGAAATGAAGGAGAAGGCTGTTACCACCTCCGTCGTGCCATTGCTTCATCAAACCTTCTTCAGTCAAAGGGAAGAGAAGGTGTCTTCGTTGTTACCTGAACATGAAATCGAAACACAATCCACGATCTATCATATTATCAAGAACGGTGCAAAATTCCCTAATCCATCAATAGCTTTCAAAACCCACGAATGCTAGGATTTCAGTCAGATGACCTCTGGAAAAGATAGCCATATTAACTACTTTTTGTTCTGTTAGACCTAGTTTTTTTTCCTGCTTTATTGATGAAATGGAGTTCGACCAAGATTACTAAGACAAAAACCTTCAGTATTAAGCTTTATCTTACCTCCCCACATGTATCACAACTTGCTGGAAACATGAAAAAAGTCAATTCTGTAGTTAGAGCTTCCAAAGTTTTGGAGGATGCTTAATCATGTCCTTAAATAGTTTCCAAGTTAATTTTATAGAATAAAATTATCATCATGTAAACAAAAACACAACTAATYGAGGCTAGATATATGAGTGTTTCTTCTCAATCCCCATCTAACTGGGACTGTACATTGGTTATGGTATTACCCCTTCACAATTTATCATCATTACATGAATCCACTTCGATAATCATGTATCACAGATTTATCTTCATGAAAAATTTCTTTTGAAAGAATTGTCTGAATAGGTATAATTGGCCAACCTTCTTATGTTATACACCAACTACATGAAATTACAAAATTGCCCTTAATTAGCAATTTTTTCACATTCAACAACATATATTTGAGGTTACTGATTCATGTCATTCAATTCCATTCTGATATCCTAAAGATGCTATTGTTTTGCCTCCATGCCATTTTTATTGGTAACAAGAAAGTTTATCAGTAAAAGTCCCTGGCCCCTAACTTCCTAAAACTCAACTTTGATGGAAACTTTATTGGCAACAGGGTATTGGGTGGGGTAGGGGGTGTTTTCAGAGATACAGAAGGTAGAGTTTTGGCCTTGTATTCAGGACCCTTGGAGCATGGTGATGCATTGACAGCAGAACTGGTCAGTCTACTGCAGGGCTTGCTAAACAATTGGGTTTCCACAATCTAGAGGTGGAAGGGAATTCTCAAGTAGTCATCTCATGGACTAGAAATGGTACCCAGATTACTTGGGTGTTCGATTATAAATTCAGGGAGGGAGATTGTAAGCCTAACAAGGGAGCTAAATGTTGCATTTAAGTGGGTGAGAACAGCAAAAAGAATGGCAGACTCTTTGGCCAAACAAGGGGCTGTTAGACAGCAAATGTTTTGGGCAAATCTGTAATCTTTTGTTGTTTTGGGGTGGAATTAACACCTAATCTCTTGTAACTCATAGGTTTATATCAATAAAATTCTTTTCCTGCTGATAAAAAAAATAAAAACTTATAGAAAGATGTAGAGAGATGGACAAGGAGGCCTCCTTTACATGAAGAGTTTTCACATACATGTGAGAGAAAGCTAAAACAAAATGAGATAAAAAGACATTTATTATTCTTACTAGTGCTTTCCACTTGGATACAAAGCAAGATTTGTACAAGTCCTTGTTGTCCTTGTGAGCTGAGCCTTGATATCATTTTACAATTCAGACATAAATACCTTTTGCATTTGCTTTATAACACAATCCCTTATCACCCTTTCCAATATCAACTAGTGCTTATTCAGCTCTATTACTGGTTTAAAATTGAGAACCTTAGATATTGTCTTGACTATGATAATGGGATATATACTATCTAGAGTTTAAGGTTGGAAGAGCTTGCTATCATGGAGACTGAGACTGGCAGATGGAGGCTACCTGTGTTGGGTTAATAGGTCATATTATATTTTTTCACTGTAATAGGTTATATCATATTTACATGTATAGACCAAGTATGCATCATGTACAGCCAGGAACTAAACACCAACTAGGAGAGCTGCAAAAACTTATGCTGTCTAAATAAAAACAAACAAAAAGTATACTTGAACAAGATCTTTGCATCAACTAAATAGGATACTATGTCCAAAAAACTGGTGGTGTGGGATTTTCTTGAACAGGTCCTTGGCTGAGAACCACAAATGTAGAGTGGTCACAGACTGAAGTACCACATCGTACACAGAACTCCTCTTATTCTCAAACACCCTCAAGTTCCTTTCCTTCTATATGATCCAACTGGCCACTAAGGAGAATTATGCTTCATAGGACCTTTCCCTTTTGATTCAAACCCGCTGACTTCCATGACTTTAGCAGCTCAAATAAGCTTCCGTTGACTCCAGCAACTATACAGTGCACAAACAGGTGGTCCACTGACTCATTCTAGCCACACGTCACGCCCTCCTGTGAGTCCAGCACCACTCCTCTCCTTGTTAGCTGGCCCTTGGTAAGGCATTTCCTACTCACTACAGTCCATACTCAGAAGCCAACCTTTGTTGGGAGGTAAGGAATCCATAATCTTCTTCCAGGGGAAGTTATGCACCATAGAATCTGTTAGATTTTTGTAAAATGACTTGATAGAAAATCTGCTGTCCTTGGACCATTTTCAGAGTCTCTCTTCTGCTTGATTTGGTGTCTGTTTGTGCTCTTGTAGCTGCTGCAACAGTCTAACCAAAATCTGAAATTTCCCAATCATTTAGCTGCAACAGTCCATCTGTCTTACACAGTGGAAAACAAGAAGAAAGTAAAGGGTTTCAAGGAAGAAGATATGAACTGTACTCTTCAACCTATCGACCAGTACTGTACTACTGTTATTCTCTTCATTAGAACCTGCAAAAATTACAAAAATTCCCCTGTTAAGTGATTCTTAACAGGGGAAATACCAGAGTACAGCCAATGACTAAAATGCCCTTGTGGGCAAAGATTTCAACAATGATTTGCCACATTTTTAGAGGAAATTTAATGTTATTAATAAAGAGACTTGATATTTATTTCAATTAATATGTATGCTGAATGGTATACAAAACTAGGGAACTAGCCAAAAGTTTGTTTTCTAAGAAGGGCAGCCCAGTGTATGAGGCTCCTGCCAATGTGGGGTCTGGGGAGGGATAGATGTACGCAGCCTTATAAAATTTTTATTGACTAGGAGTTGACTAGGCGATGGGGGTGCCCCAGTGTCACCCAGAATTGCCTAGATGCCTTGACAACTATGGGGATATGATTCCCCTAGTGATCAGCTGGATTGTTTGGATGGAGAGGAACTTTAGGGTGTTTGATTTGAGTCCAAGAGGAGCTCTGATGATGATGTGATGTGTTGGGCTACAGCAACTATACACTCTTGGCTGTCCGTCCTCGAGCAGTTCAGAGGTTTCCCACATCATTAGTTTTTTGATCATAGTATTTCATTTTGCCAATATGTCAATCTTACACAGGAGTATTTTCCCTGGGAGGGGTCTTTTTGGCTTTTGTTTAGGGTACTGGGTTTTATTTGGCCCTAGAGATGTATGGTTCCTGGCTGTATGTGTTGCCTACATGGCTCACACGTAATTTTGATAGTGGAAATCAATACAACACTTACCTTTTTCTCAAAAAAAAGAGGACCTATGTCTTGTACATCTTTGTGCATTTATTTCACTACTTGATTATGTGGGATTTTGTGTGTGGTGCATATTCCTTTACCCATATTGATAGAATCTTCCTTGTAAACAGAAAAATTTTGGAAGCTCAGATGCTTTTTAACTTAGT